CAAGTTGACAATTTGCATATTAGGCTTTTATTATATAGGATGATAATGTGTATCCAAAAATTAATACCAACCACTGTTCTTACTAAGATTATACTTAACCTTTTTAAACCTTTATTTATTTTTTTCCCCCATAGGATGTAAGTGAATGTCCTATGTCAATCATTTGGATGAAAACATGGAAGAATGTAAAAAGCATACAAAAAGGAAGAATGATATATCACCTGCCGGATGTTAAAAGACAAAGTCAAAGTCTGAGATTGTATTGCTTCAGTTTTCCAACAAATTATTTAGAAACTACACTCAGGTCCCTTTATACTTATCCTATATAGTAAAGAGGTAATATGAAAATTGACCATCACACCATCATATAAGATGGCCGCCCCCATGTGGTCCAAGATGGCTGCCACAAGATGGCTGGCAGGGGAGGGCAGCTGGGGGTGATTGGGCCAGCAGGGGAGCAGTTAGATGTCAATCAGGCTGGCAGGGGAGTGGTTAGGGGGTGATCAGGCTGGCAAGCAGAAGCAGTTAGGGGCAATCAGGCAGGCAGGCAGGAGAGCGGTTGGGAGCCAGCAGTTCCAGATTGTGAGAAGAATGTCCAACTGCCGTTTTAGGCCTGATCTCTGTGGGATCAGGCCTAAACCGGCAGTCGGACATCCCCTGAGGGTTCCCAGATTGGAGAGGGTGCAGGCTGGGCTAAGGGACACCTTCCCCACCCCCACCCAGTGCACAAATTTCATTCACCGGGCCTCTAGTATTCAATATAAATTTAAACCCTTATGGTCCTGCTGTAAATCTGAGTTCCTTCCACTAAGCAAGCTTGTTCCCAAGAAATCATAGAAGAAAAAAAGTCAAAAATCAATTATTTTCTTACTTGTAAACATCTCTAGTGAAAATAAGTTTAAGAGAATGTTGAAAGCCAATGGCTAAAATACATTTCAGATATTACAAATGATATTGTCTTATCTATTTGCCAATGTTTCCCATGACCAACTCAATTGAACTGGCTGTCCATTCATCTTCTGCTGGGTAAACAAGAATTTCATGTGTGGCTGTATTAGTCCCGCTGACAGGCTTTGAGTCTTTCCCTATCTTTACTACCCGTTCTCAGTGGTAACACGTTCCACAGTATTCAGATCACATTGGAAATCTCATTCTCCTTTTCTGATATCTATTGCAAAGTTCCAAGTACCTAAAATGTTGGGCCACCATCCTGGAGAGTGGGAAGAGGCCAAGCTTTCAAATCAGACAGACCTTTGAAACTAGACTCCCTCAACTATTAGCTGAATAAATGTGTCTTCCCTTGTAAAGCACATGTTTTATGTCACAGAGTAATTGGAAAATTAAGTGAGATAATACATGTAAACCATAGCACAATATGTGAAAGACAGTGCCTGGAGAAATGGCAAATATCATGATCATCTTCGCAACAACTGAGAAGAATGATAATATTGTCAACGTGTTTTTTAAAGGAAGAAAATCAGATTTCTTTCAAGCCAAAGGGCTTTCAAGCCCAGTGAGATGAGTGGTACTTTGAGAAGCAGGAGCTACCACTACATGAAGGGTACAGCGAGGAGAAAGAAAAGTTCAAGGGGAGGGAGGGTGAAGTTTACCAGGAAGAGTTGGATGTGCGTCCTCAAGCATCAGGGCTTGAATTGTCTCCTGAAATACAGCTCAGTCTTGACATGCATGAAGGAGTAGGAAGGTCATTCCAAACAGACATAGCTGTGACAAAGCAAACTATTTCAATGCAAGCACATCTGGTGGGCCTGGGTAACGCAGGACAGAGTGATTTGGTTAATAATCATGATTGGAAACTGGGTGGAATCCAGGCTGGGCAAGCCCTGAACATCAGGCTGAGAAGTTCACGTTCATCTTACAGTAAATGGGAAAGCACTGAACTTTGCTCAGCAGCAGAGAAATATATCCACAGTGGCAGACTAGGAAGGTTCAGAGGCAGGGAAATGTGAATGTAGGTCTGGGAGGAGAGGTCATAGAGACGAGGATAACAGAGTTTTCCCCACACATCACGGGCTGGGCCAGTGTGCTATGTCCACTCTGATTTAATACACCGGAGTTGAAACAGGACAGTTTCATAATGTACAAATCACATGCTTTCTATTTGTCCACTGAATGGAGAAAATGAGAGACTGATGGTGCAGGCCTTTTTCAGGTCACACACATTGAGAATGAGGCTGGGAAGGAGCATTGGCCAGGAAGACGCCAAGCATTCAGCAAGGTGTCACTAAAAGCTGGGTTAAGCAGCCTGAAGTAGGATTATAAATAAGGATTGAGGTCCTCATAATGGATAAGGCAGGTGCATCCCAGGCAGGGATGAGGGCAAGGAAGAAGGAAATTCAAGGTCAGGAATGGGACAGCCATAAGAAAGTTTGTTTGATACAACAAAGGGAAAAAGTTAATTTTTTGAGGTTACTTGGTCTTTCTTTATACTCTCTACCCCTAGGGTGATTGTTCGAAGTATAAAACACAAAGGCCCATCAAGGCAGACAAATAAAAGGAACTTGTTGTTTGTCTAGAAAAGAAATAAATCACTATTGAAAGAAACCAAGGCAGATGGCAATACAAGATGAGCACCTATTACACTATGCTTGGCACTTGGTGTTTATTATCTCCTAATCTTCAAACTAATTCTTCAAGTTGTTACTGTTATTAGAAAATAGATTCATAAAAGTTGTAAAGTAAGCTGCTCAAGGAGAATAAATGGTCACATCCGATGCCAGGGAAGTTTTGAACTGGGAACTTGCAAGGCAGTTTGGTAAAAACACCGTGAGAAAAGCCCAGGCCTGCAGATGTGAGTGATTAGCCCTTCACTAAGGGAGAGTGGCTGGCATGGAAAAAGACACAAACATGAGTGACACTACACAGCAGTGGTGATCGGGACTTGGTAGACATGGAGGGGTCAGCCTACCAGCCTGGGAGAGTGCTTCTAACACTTCCAGAAAGAGAGGACTCCGAAGCCAGCCTGGGTTTTAGCCAAAGACAATGAACTGGGTTTTAGATGTGTTGATCTGACTGGGGGTGGGGGGAGGGGGGGGGATCAGTAGGCAGGGAACAGCTGGGTAAAGAAATCCTGACAGGTGGGTGGGAATAAGAAACCGAAGTCCAGAAGAAAGGCTGAGCCCTAACATGTGGCTTTGGAATCGCTGGGCCATATGGCAATTCAGCAGCATTTCTACGGTTTCCTATGTGGGAGAGCACTGTCTATATTGGCTTCAAGAGCAGACTGACATCTTGCCAACCTTCAGAAAACATGCAAGAATTCTCTCTGCCACCACCTCTGTGACTAGCCCTAGAAACACACACATACACACACACACACACACACACACACACACACAATTTAGGGTTTTCAGTTAATGGCCCTTCTACACAAACTCAAAGCAAATGGCATGTTATTTAGCTTCAAATGTGCCAAGTTAAAATGCTATGAAATCATGTGGGCTTTGACTTTTTAATGTTATTCAATCGATGTCATTAAAACAGAGAATTTAGTCTTTTCGTTATTCCCTTGTAAGTTCTGCCGTCTGTCTGTCTGAAAAATGAAGAGCACTCATTTATGTCGCCTAACCAACTTATTTGGGGGAACATTAGATGGGTTAAAGACAGCAAAACCCAAGTTTCCACGTGCATGTGGGGAGAAGAAGAAAGTGCATGTCAAGAGTGAATAATGCCCTGCCACTCAGCCAGAGCCCTGCCTCCACTGACTGTGCAGTCTGGCTGATGCAGGAGTGAAGACAGATCCTTTCTCTCCTTCTCCAGCGTGCCAGCCATGCTTAACACCCTAACACTTCATTAACATGCTAATGTGTGACGATTATTTTGTGCAAGTACCACTGTATATGATTTTGAAAGGCTCTATCAACCACAGCTAGAATGCAGGGACCTAAGTGCTAACTCACCATTATTAATAAGAAAACAATATACTGCTCAAAAGGCGCGCGCGCGCGCGCATGTGTTTGTGTGTGTGTGTGTGTGTGTGTGTGTGTGTGTGTGTGTGTGTTATCTGTCCTATGGCTTTTGTAGGTCAACCATTCTTTCTGTGAGCATCAGTGAGAAAAAAAGCTGATTTCTCAGGATACATAAGCCAACTGTAACATTTATTCTACCAGGGGGGAATAATACACTAAATGTTAAGATGTCAGAGATAAATAGCTATTATGGGCATGGATTGTTGGCAAAAGTAATAAACTAGGAATCAGAAACCTGATTTCAATTTGAGGTTCTCTCATTGTCTCCCTCTGCAACCCTGAGTGAGTCATTTATTCACTGGGGACTATTTTCTTATTTATAGTATGTTGGGGTAACTATGATTTCTTAAAATTTCTTCTTGCACAAATACCCATGATCAAAGGATATTATTATGATAACAAATTGCTAAACCCTTGACTTCTATAACCACTTTAGAATACTTTTCCAGGTTGTTTTTATTATTTATCTTCATCTTCTATTGACTCCAAGTATTAGCAAGAATACCTATATCTCTAAGGAGAATAATTCAAACTGTAATAAGGCTCATAGAAGATGATAGAATAACTGGAGAGACAGTGAAAGTTCCTGCATGGAACAACTTACTAAAAATATGTTAGTTTTTCAGTTTTAATTTATAAATTTAATATAATCCTTGTTAAAATTTCAGTTGAATTTTGTGGAACTTAATAAATTTTTCAAAATTCATGTGTAAGATAAAAGTTCACATTACTTTTGAAAATTAAAAACCAATAAGGACTTACTTTGCTTAGATATTGATATACACAACCAAGCTTTATTAACAAAATAGCATGAACTATGGCAAAGAATGAAGAGACCAATGGAGCACAAGAGTGGTACCAACTTGTTGGGGAAACAGGATACCACATGGAAACACAGAACTGGGCTGCTACCTACCACCATATATACATATGGGGTCCAGGTTGATCAAATACCTAAATAAGAAAGATGTTAATATAATAGATAATAAAAACAAATTTTGTAACAGAGGGACAGAAAATAATTTATTTTACAAAGCTCTCAAAGTAAAATATTGATAAATTGAATTACATAAAAATTAAGATTTCTGTTCACACACACACACACAAAAAGACATAATGGGCAAAGTTAAAGTAAAGTGACAGGCTAACAAGCTACTTGTCTAAAACCAGCTGGCAACTATCTAGAATATTCAAAGAACTTCTGTAAATCAATAAAAATAAATAAATACACTCCCAGTGGACAAATATGCAATGAATTTGAAGGGGAATTTACAGGAGGGAAAAATCCGAAAGACAGCAAGCATATAAAAAGCTGACCAAATTCATCAGTAGTCAGATAAAAGTAAAATGAAACTAAAAAATATTATTTTATACCCATTAGACAGAAATGAGAAAAATTAGAAAACTTAATGCCAAATATCAGCAAGAGGTTGGTATACAAACACTCATACTGCTGGCGGGGGGGCGGGAGGTGTGAACTGGTGAATCCTTCTGGTGGTAATCTGAGAGGACTTCTGAAATTAGACTGTTTATGGTATCTGAGTTGCATACATATGCTCTACAGCCTAGCAATTCTGTTAGTCTGGATCCTAAGTAAATGTCCTTTGGCATTTTCCAACAGGGGGCATGTCTAGGTTGTTCACAGAGCCTTGCTTGTGCTGAAACAATATGGAAGTCCTTCCATGGCAGAGAATATAAGTAAATTGTGTTCTAGGCACACTGTAACAGACCATGAGCAGCAATGGAGTAGATGTATATATAGCAATATCCATAGGCCTCAAAATATAATCCTGGGTAGAGAAAATAAAAACAAAAGAGGATATATAACACACATAAGTTAAAATGCAGGTACAATAAATCCAAAACATGAAACCGTATATTTTGTAAGAACATATTCACTGACAAGTGCATGTACTCTGAAAATGAGGTTCCTGAATGACCAGAACTGTGGATAAAAGGGAGGGTCTGAAGTCAGCACGCACACACACACACACACACACACACACACACACACACACAAGCAGGGCCCTATGAAAATTCATATTTCTATTATCTTGCATTTATGTAACATCAAACAAAAGTTCTACAAAACAACACATTCTTACTTCATACAATGCACTGTTTACATTTTCTATTTCCTTTTTTAAAAAAATGCTGGTCTCTATTTATAAAGGTGATTGTATAACCTACCAATGGGTTGCGACTTTCCATTTTAAAACACTGATCTAGGCAATAATAAGGGCATTATAGTGAGTTCCTGGAATAATAATAGTGCCATACACTCGTTAAAAATTCAAGCACATAAAGGAGAACTGAGAAAAAGACCCTCTGTGCTGCCTTCTCCAAGAAACACATCCAGAGGGAATTCCCACCAGTCGGCTGCTCCGCCTCACGTGATTCCGCCCTAAGTGGCACTTCCGGAGAGTGAACTTTTCACCCCTTCTTCAGCCCTGGCTTGTCAGACTAAGGCCAAAACTGAAGCAGGAAATGATATGCCACTTGCTAAAGCACAAAGAGGTATTTTAAAACATAAAGGAACATTTTAAACATTCCTGAAACACATTTGAATAACATGGAGATATAAGGAAATATGGGCTCTCTTGGAAATGGAAAGCTGGAAAATCTAAAAAGGGTAGCTCTAAGGAAAAAAATAAAACGAAAAATGTGGAAATAGGGTAGATTACACAGACTTCAAGAGAGCAGTAAACTATATTAGAGTAGATGGGGAAGCTACAGAAGAGAGTAGGAAAGCCCACGGGCTCCTCCCAATCTGCAGCTCAGTAAATACAAGTTAAAAAAAAATTCCTATTCCAAATCAACTGAAAACTGGCATTTGAGGACAGCTTTAGGTCCTCCTTATATCAGAAGATCTTACCAGAAAACACATTTATTGGGCCAATATGGAGAGTAGTCATTTTAAAGTATTTAAATAGAATTAGGCACTTCTGAGCTAAATGAAGAGAAAAAGTATAATAAAGATCATTATTATGGCACTGAACGTTGTGCCTTTATAGCTATGCCCAAGCAGAGCGATGAGAATGTGTGGATGGGGTTAGAGACAGCACACCATTCCCTCTCTGCAGACACCAAGGCAGCAGCATTAAAGCCCCATCACACCACTGGGAGCAATGTTCCTTGGAGGGCAACTTTTGAGAAGGGCTAACCAGGAACTGGGTGTATGAGCTTGTGTTTGAAGTGAGCCTCTCTACCTAGGGTTATAATCAACTACTTATAAAACAGAATTAAGTTAGGTGCTATTCAAATTTTTTTTAAAAACCCACATATTTCTAAAAATTGCTAGGTTACAGAGAATCCATATGACAAAAGGAATCCAGAGAAGGAATATAATTAGTATAATGAGAGGAATGACTTCTGGATTATGAGGTAGAAAAAGGTAGAGAGAGAGATGAGCTGGCTGTACAGGTAAGTTGAGGGGGAAGGGGCAGAAAGCCAATACACTATATAGCAGGTACATTAAAGAGATGGGCTCAGAGGAACCATGAAGTTGTTCAAGTATACTACCAGTTACTGGTCCTTTAACTCACAGGTATTCATAAACTGCCAAAGTACACCTATTATGTTAAAGAGAATGACCAGCTACTTTCAATTTTGATGAAAACATGGCAAAAGAACATTAAGAGTGAAAACTAGCATTTCTTGAAAAGGCTCTTTAGCGCACACAACTGCCAATTCTTACAACAATTCTGCAAGGTAAATGATATCCCCTCGTACAGATGAAGAAACAGACTATCATAGATGCTAACAAAAGTCCTCAGAGTTACACAGGGATGAGTAAGTGGCAGAGCCAAGATTTCTTCCAAGACGTTCTTACTTCCAAATGGCTTTACACTAAGTGTGATGATTCGGCAGCTCAATTAAGTGAGAACTAAAGAATTTCTTCTATTTAAAAAGAGTAGAACGGGTTAAGTTCTGAAAATCGCCTAGTTTTGATTATTTTACTATGGTTATTCAAGATACAATCATGGGGGAAGCTAGGAGAAGGCTACATGAGAACTCTATTCACTTTTGTGCTTTCTTGTGACCTAAACTTACTTTTAAGGAAATTTTTTTAAAAATAAGGGGAATGAACTTTTTGGAAGCTTACCTCACTCCTTTTCCTTTGGAGATAAATGTATGATATATTAGAGATATGTCTTAAACATACCTATATATCTCTGATGTATTCCAAATATAAATATATATCTGAGATATACAGGAGATAAGTATATATTTCTTCTGAAAATATATAGATATACTCATAATTATGTATTTCATAAGTACCGCGCGCTAACCGATTGCGCCACTGGAGCTCCCATAATTATGTATTTTAAAAGGTTAATTCTCAGTTGTTTTCAGCGACCTAAATAGCACAAGAAATAAAATAATGGCTGCCTTCTATTCTCATTCAACTTTAATAAACTTTCACTAAATACATATTCCTACATGGTATTGTACTATTTTGCCTATTCAAGTTTATCTCCTCCAACACTCAAGGTTTTCACTGTGTACCATGTTTATATATGGGAACTAGGTAAACAGAGCTACCATTTATATTTAAGTTGAACATCATGAGAATAAAATGTCTAGCTGATATGAAAAAGATTGTTTGATAAGAATATTTACTTTTTTTCTAAGAATGGCTAAACCACTTTTTCCCCAATAAATAAGATAATTTTGAAACAGCTATCATTTGTAGAGTGACTTTTATTGTGTCATTAAATTCATGTACTATCCCAACACTATTAAATAAAAATTAATATGTCCATTTCACATATAAGGAAAGCTAGACAGATTAATTTGCAGAAGTTACACAACTATCTATCTATATATAAAGAGCCAGTGTCCGTAACATCCAAAATGACCAAAGGCTTGCACGAATTCCAGGCTGCGTGGGCAGCATGCCGAGTGGGCTGAACTGCTGACCTCTCGGGGAGAGAGAGGCGGGGACTTGCAGTGGGAACTTGTATGAGGCTGCCTCATGGCATCCCGCATCCCCCCCCCTGACTGTCCACTGGAACTCCAAGCCAGCGAGGGCTGCCTCCAGGCCATAGCCCCAAGTCCCTCGCCCCCACCCCAGGCCTAAGAGTGCGGCACTGGGCAGGGGTGCCTGGGGGTCTGGGAATGTGGCATGAGGGGCCAGCGTGGCATCAGGGGGCTGTGTTTACACTGACAAGTTCCCTGCTTCTGCCCCGGCCCAGGCATCCTTCCTTCCTCCCCTCAGCGGCCCAGCTCCTGCCTATGTGCTTGCCGGGCAGGCCCAGTTACACTGGGGAGTGAGCCATGGCGATCGGGATGGCCACTTCCTTGGACGGGATGGCTGGGCCGTGGCAATTCATGAGGGCGACAAGGCCTGCGGGGCATACACAGCCCTCGGGTGGCGGGGGTGGCCGGCCAAGCCGAGTGCGGCTTCGGTGGGGCCAGCAGGAACCCAAGGCCATCCCAGCCCCCACAGGTCCCAGGCAGGACAGTGGTTCAACGGCAAGCAGTGTCTCCATGCATGGCACCTGGGGGCAGCAGCAGCTGCCGCAACCCCGCCCCATGCTTCAGGGATGGGGAGGAGGCTCGTGGCCACCAACGCCCTAGGCGGGGACTTGCAGTGGGGACTTGTGTGGAGGGGCAAACATAGTGAAAGGAATAATAAGTATGAAAGAAATGACAGGGTCCAGAGCGGGCGAGCTGCTCCCGCCCCCTGGTGGTAGAACAGGGAGGAGAGCGCTAGGTGCAGGGAGGGGACCTCAGCTGGGATCCCCCTGGTGTGGGGAAGGGGCCTGGCCTGGGCCCGGTGGGCAGCTTAAGAAGTCTGGCTGAGCAGGTGCTGGTTCATATCAACTCTTATTCTGCCATCTTCCTCCAGCTCTCCAAGCTAGCTCCCCTGCCCCACCTGCCCGAAGGAACGGGCTCTGGGTGACCTCCCCGAGCACAGACTGTGGACCCGGAGACCTTGAGGAAGAGTGCCTGGTGGGGGCCAATGCAGAACTACCAGGGCAGAGCTGCTTCAGTGTTTAGGTGAAATTTGCAACTGACCCAAGGAGGAAACCGAGAGGGGAAAGGCCAATAGGTGTGAATTCCCAGCGCTTTAGCTACTTGAAAACAGTCCCACTTGGAATGTGAGGGGACTGTACATTCAGCTGAGAAGTGAGGGGGCTGAACCCCTCCGTTGCTGGGCTCCTGTCATTTCGAGACCCGAGCGTCCACCATGAGAAGGAAAAAATGGAGGGAGGGGCCGGAGGAAGGGAGGACAATTAAAGGAAACGTGTCTAGACTTTTCCCAGCCCTCTCCCTCTTTCCACTGCCTACAAAAGCCCCAGGCATGGCCACAGTTCTGTTTCCACCTTTTAGTCCCCTATTCTCCGAACACAGAGGCAAGAAATAAGGAAGGAGTCTGTGCTGCCTTCAGAAAGTATATACCTGATTGCCCAGTTGCCTCCTGCAGAGGGAGGCCAAACTGCAGCTTAGGCCTGCTCCCCCCGTGGAGGGGGCCTAAGCCATCAGTAGGACGTCCCGTGAGGGTTCCCGGACTATGAGAGGGGGCAGGCCGGTCTGAGGGACCCACCCCCCCAGTGCACAAATTTTTGTGCACCGGGACCCTAGTATGTATATAAAAGCCTAATATGCAAAGTGTCCCCTCGAGAGTTCGACCAACTGGGAGCTCAATCGCTCGCTATAATGTGCACTGACCACCAAGGGGTGGTGCGGAATGAAGGGAGGCCCCGGCTGGCAGCTGGCAGCTGGGGAAGGGAGGCCCCAGCCGGCAGCCAGCAGCCACTTAAGGACCCTACCTATGCACAAATTTCAGGCACTGGGCCTCTAGTTCAGTGATAAAATGTGGATTCAAACTCAGATCTACATGACACTAAAAATATTATTCCTTTCACTATGTTTGCCCCTCCACACTTTCATTTCTATGATTAAAATGCATCCACTGTATTATTGACCATTCACCCCTTAATAACAAAATATACAGTTTAAGCACATTTAGACATTAAAAAAAAAAGAGTCAATCTTCATTCCTGGCTCCTATTTGAAGTTAAAGTTTATTACTGAAGCTGAAGAGAACTCTTTTAAGTATGAAAGAAATGCAAGTGGTATTCCAAGTTACAATATGTGTGTGCTCAAGTGGGAAACATGAGAAGAGCATCTGCCAAATTCATTTTGGCCTCATTTGATACTATCTCACTGATCTGGGGCCAGCTTACATTTGTTTCTCTCTCTCTCTTTCCTTCCTCCATTTCCTCTTCATTCCAGAAGCATACAAAAACTATAGCAAAGAAGCTGGATAAAGTTTCCAATAATATACTGAAAACACTATTAAATAAAGGAATGGCTATCTAGTCCAAGGATAACCTCATTTCAACTAAGAATAACCCAAAACACTAAAATAAAAAGAATCTTTATGGGATCATAAATAACAACTGGAGATAAAATTACTTAAGATATTCATTTTAAAGAAATATATTTTTAGAGACAAATTCTCAAAAGAACTAATTCAATTCGTACTTATGCACAGGGCTTTATAATTTAGTATGAGTCAACCTTCAAATTGTACTTTTTAATTCAAACTTTTAAAAAAGTCTTTAATTATGTTAATTCTACTTCCAGCTTTTAACCCCAGCACTGATCCCTATCTGCTCAACCCTGATGCTAATGAATCCCAGATTTCTGATACTTGTAACTAAACAGCATCAGAATTGAGCATTAGTTTTTGAATTTCATGATAGTCTCCTGCACATCTATCTACATTTGCAATTGTTTTAGTCTAGTGTATGTAAGTGGTAGTAGTTTCTTTAAAACACAGTCAATTCTTAATCAGTTATGCTTTTCAAAATGGTCAAAGTAAAAATGGCTAGTAGATTTATATTTTAAAGCCACCTAGGTGTTTCCCCTTACTGTGATATTGTCTGGTATCCTCAGTTCTTTGCTTCCAACTTCTTGGTAAATTAAAGAAGACTGTATTTAACACAACAGTAAAGAAAAAATACCTTTCTAGATAACCAAACCTACAGGCTAAAAAATCCTGTCTTCTCTCCTAGACCACTAAATATCAACTAACAAATAGAGGAGTACCAATGAATATTTCCATTATCCTCCCAAGGAAAAATTAAAGAACTGCATCAGACACATATTAATGCTGAGATATACCACAGGAAATAGTGTTTTAGTACTCTCCCTTAACACGTTCACATGTAACAGAGGAGATAAAATTAACAGACAAGTATAATTCAGTGTCATGAGGATATGAGGATAAGCACACGGTTCTATGGAAATACATTGGAGGGATTTTCACCACCCCCAGAAGAGGGGAGAAGTTAGGAGTGTATAGGAGAGTTCCCCAAAGGAAGTGATGCCTAAAAGAGACTAAGAAGTAAGTATCCACTTTGCATAGGCTAAGATTGTTATAATAAAAAAAGACTGACAATAACAAGTGTTGGGGAGGATGTGGAAAATTGGAACCCACATACATTGCTAGTGGGAATGTAAAATGGTGCGGCCACTTTGGAAATCAACTTGACAGGTCCTTAAAAATGTTAAGCATAGAATTACCCTATGACCCGGTTATTTCACTCCAAGATATACACCCAAGAGAACTGAAAACATACATCCACAGTTATGTTCAAAGTGGTATTATTCAAAATAGCCAAAAAGTGGAAACAACCATTAATTGATGAATGTCCATCAATTGATGAATGAATAAACAGAATGTGCTATACATTCCAAAATGGAGTATTATTCAGTCATAAAAAAAGAAAGAACCATTGATACTAAAAGAACAGAAGAACATGGATGAACCTTAAAAACATTACACTAAAAGAAGCCAGTCACAAAAATCCACACATTGTATGATTCCATTTATATGAAACTAGAGGTCTGATGCACAAAATTCATGCAAGGGACTCAGCCCTCACAGCCCCATCTTCATCCAGAAGGTCGTCTGGAAGGTCGTTTGGCTGTCTGGTCTAATTAGCATATTACACTTTTATTATTGTAGATGTCCAGAAAAAGCAAATTTGTAGAGACAGAGAGTAGATTAGTGGTTTCCAGAGGCTGAGGAGAAAAGGGGAATGGAGAGTGACTATAAATGGGTAAAGTGATGGTGAAAATATTTTGTGGTGATGAAAATATTCTGGAATTACATCATGGTGATAGTACCTGTGGACAAAAGCCAATTCTGTGAGTATACTATTACTGAATTGTCACTTTAAAATGGAGAATTTTGAGACATATGCATTATATCTCAACTAAAAAGAAGAAATAAGAATGAGCAGATGGAAAGAAAGGAAAATGTGGCAAAAATGATAGGTGATAAAGAGGAGGGAGAAGTTGATGTAGGTTCCAGAGCATGGGAAGCAGGGAACGGAACGGAGTGGGACTGAGGGGTGGCCCATCTTCCATTTAGGGCAAAGGCACAGAGGCGAGCACTGCCTACTTGTACGGCTGTAGATTCAGAAGCTAAGGGAATTGATATCTAATGCTTCTCTTCTGACCATGAGATAAGTAAGCAACAAGTTGGCAGGGCAGGAAGTCTGAGGTGAACAGAGGAGGTTAAGAACAACCTCTATAGAGAGGAGAAAAGAGATGTATTGAAAGTTCCCCAGATTTGCTTTTAAAAAAAGCTTCCATATTTGAGAGAATAGAGCAATCAACTTAGGCACCAAATGAGCAGGGGTCTCAGGAAAGATGTTCTCTCTGTCAAGCCTCCGGAGTCCTTGGACTAGAGCAGCGGTTCTCAACCTGTGGGTCACGACCCTTTGGGGGTCAAACGACCCTAAGACCATCGGAAAACACATATATAATTACATATTGTTTTTGTGATTAATCACTATGCTTTAATTATGTTTAATTTGTAACAATGAAATTGGGGGTCACCAAAACATGAGGAACTGTATTAAAGGGTCGCGGCATTAGGAAGGTTGAAAACCACTGGAATAGAGTGTGAGAGGCTCTCCTCTCACTTCCTGCTACTGTGTACAGCCTCGTCTGCATCTCCAAGGTTCTCCTGGTCAGCTTATCAGCTGTGTATGTCATGCAGTAAGCAGCTTCTTGGTTTAGTATTTGTGGTCTCCTCATATTTACATTGTTCCAACAACTAGGTACTAGAGACTTCAAAAATTGATATGAAGATGCCTTTTATGAAATTTTTCATAGCCTTAAGGGAAAACAAGTGTTTCCTCTTTATTCACGTATCTTATTTTTTAAATTGGTTTTCATAATTCTTTCAACTTTAAAAAACCAGAATCTAATTTGATATGCTCTCAGCGGTTCTCAACCTGTGGGTCGCGCACAATGAAAATACATCCTGCATATCAGATATTTACATTACGATCCATAACAGTAGCAAAATTACAGTTATGAAGTAGCAACGAAAATAATTTTATGGTTGGGGTTCACCACAACATGAAGAACTGTATTAAAGGGTCATGGCATTAGGAAGGTTGAGAACCACTGAGAGTCTAGATCAAAACATATTAATACTTATTTTCTATGCTTTGAAATGAATAAAATTAACTTACCTTCACTGGTAATATTGATGTCAAGTCAGATGCTGATCATTTCGTCATAAACTTCCAAATCAAGATCTAGATCTCCATGGAATATAAACATAGAATAATGCCACCAGATGATAGTACCTGTGGACAACAGCCAATGATTTATTAGAACATTATGGGAAGGTGTTGTATGGTTACTGCTGAGTCATATAAATGTCCCAAGTCTTCAAAAAGTACTAACGTGTTTAATTTCTACACATTAGACAAATATACACTAGTTACGTTAACATTTTTTGAAAGCTTCCTATGCAGCAGGTACTTTTGCACATGTAACCTCATTTGCTTCTTCTTCCAACACTGTTATACAGATGAAAAAAAATGTAGCAGCTCATACATATCAGAGCCAGGATTTGAACCGGGGGATTCTGGTTGTAGGTTCTAAGTTCTTAATCATACATGTACTGCCTTGACATACATCCAGGTACAATACTCCAAAGACTCTTAAAGTCTAAATGGTATGAGGAATTCCAGTTGATTTATTCCCCTGAGGTTGCTAGTCTTTCTCAAAATACATAAGTGTGATTCAAAATTTTAAATATTACAAGTCAGGATGAATTATAAAGAGGCTGAATTAAGGGGAGGAAAGGTGGGTTTAAATTTTAAGCAGAAATACAACTACTGGGTTATGTGTTATGCCGGAGTTTGCTCAACTAGTTGATCACTAATGTGTGTATAGTTCTAAAATTCCCTAGCAATGAGAAAAATGCATATATTCTGTGAAGCCCTCCCTTCTTCCACTGCAGCATGTTTTCGTCTATCTGATTAGGCGTTCATTACCCATTCCTGCAGGCACTGCTCAGAGTCTCTCTCCTCTCACTCTGCCAATTGGACTCTTCTTTCATTGTATACTTTGCTAATGCTGGTCTATCCTGGATAATTTGGCACTTATTAGGTTACAAGACCATTTTTTTTCAAACTCTTTTAGGAAAGAAGCAGAGCACAAATAAATAAAACTGCATAATACTAAATTCTCTTAAGCATGATGTATGATATATCATGAACTCAACTGGAAACCCTTTGGGGACAGGAAGTCCTTAAGAGCCTGGGGCAGGTGGCAGGATGCTGAGTATATTACGGACAATAGTGCCAAGCATACAGTCCCCTCCATTCAGGGATATTCTGTGTGAGCTGGCTCCATTTGGTGAATAAATTTACTTACATTTGCAAATGTGTAAACATGTTGAGATTCAATACGTGAACTTGAAATAAGACCTGCAGTCATTACATTTCCTAGGTATTTCTGCCAAAGTAAATATTTTTTATCTTGGTTCTCTGATTTTCCAATGCTGTTTTCTTTGTATTTTTCTTTGCTCCTGTTATTATTTCCACTTTGCTTTGTAAACACTTAAAATGTGTTGCCTCCTCCTTGGAAAACAGTAAAGAAATCCTAAGGGCAGGGGCTGGCTTTGGGTATCAAAGAAGCACCGTAAGGGATGCGTACAAGATGTTAGCATTCACCTATGTGAAGAGAGAACAAATGTTCAACTAACAAATGGCATTTCTTTTAACTAACTTCTCTATATTTATATAAATTATAGGTATTGTGGTAGCAGTAGCAACAGTAGCACACAATAATAAATACGTTAATAGCATTTACTCTGCACCAAATATCCTTTAAACATGTTACTGATAACAGTATCACGCTCCTTACAATAACTCCATGACATAGGTCCTAGTTTACCAACAAGATGAGAAACAGAAAGGTTAGTGAACTTTCTCAATGTCAGATAGCTAGTAACTGACAGAGGCAGGATTTGCGCCCAGGTAGTCTGAGTCCAGAGCACCCACTCATAATCCCTTTAATATAAAATGCCTCACCATTGTTACGATTTTCAGTGTTGACCCTAAGACACTCTAATGTTCTGATTTTTCTCTCAGTCAAAATTGAGTGCCTTTGTATAGGTATACAAATTATACCACACACCCAGAAAAGCCCTGAAACTATACTATTCTCTATACAACAATTTCACAAAAATCCAAAACTATTCAGTCTAATTGAATGGTTAAACTCCATAAGATTCTTATACAAATAAAATAAAAAAATAAAATTCATTTCAGAAACTATTTCTTTTAACTTGTAGCCTAGAGGAAGAAAACTAAAAGGTAGGCATTTCTGTACTAATAACTTTTTATTTCAAAAGAATTTCAAACTTGCAGGAAAGTTGTAGTAACTGCTCAAAAAAAAAAAAATGTCCATGTTCTCTTCACCCAGACATTCCATTCAAGCTGAGCCCACCACTTAATAATGGTCGTTCTAGCCAAACATCTGTTCCAGGGTCACACTTTGTACTTAGCTGTCCTCTCTCTTCAGTCTCATTGTATCTGGAGCAAGACCAGCTCTTCCTTGACCTTCACTGTGCTTACATTATTAAAGGCTGCTGGTTAATTATTTTGCAGAATGCCCCTCATCGGTACTAGTCAGGTTTTCTCATGAGAAAATTCAAAGATTATATTTTTGTGAACTAATGCTGTGTGCTTCTAATTACATCCCATCAAGTGACACATGATGTCAGTTTGTCACGTCACTGGTGACGGTAACTTGATCACTTGAATAAGGTCGAATCTTCCCAGTTTCTCCAGTAGAGTTGCTGTATTGCCCTCGATAATAAGGGTTGGTAGACAGATACTTTGTGGTTATACAAATATCCTGATCCTCATCCAACTTTCACTGACTACTTTTAGCATCCACTGACATTTCTTACCTGAATTATGATGATGACTGCCAAATTACCATCTTGCAAATCTCTAAATTCTTTCCATTTATCAGACAGCATCCTATTTTAAGAAAAAACTTTCTTCTCCCCCACTTATTCATGCATTTATTTGTATCAGTACAGTCCCATGGGTGTCTGGTTTGTTTAGTGGATAGACTATAACATCATTATTGTTTTGCTATTTAGATAATCCCAGGCTTTCAGTGGGAATTCCTTCAAGCTGGTTGCTGTGTTTTTTTGTCATCTTCCCATAATTCTTTGAAAGCATCTATATTTTTTTTTGCACAAGATTTCCAAAACTCATTTGTACCTTCTCTCCCCCAGCCCTAGAACCAAAAATTTTTCAAAGAACTATGGTTCCTTTTAGCAAAGACTGGTATTTAGAGACTAAGATCTGGACAACAAATGTGCTTATGTTCACTGGGATGTCACCACATCCTGGCCCTTTCAGTGAGCAGAGTTAGGAAATATGTTATGTTTCATTTGTGTATGTATATAGATGTATGTACATATTCACATATACCCATATACTATCACATTTCTATTTGTTCCTATATTGAAATTTTTATTTATATAATTTTTCCATATTGAAATTCTTGAGTTCAGACCAATACCTCAAATCCCAGTTCTTAGTACAGGGTTCACTCTAGCTTTCTCCCTTTTTATATTTGTAACTTTCTTCTCTGACAGCACGAGCCTGGCTCCCATTACCTTCAATATATTTGCTCATTGGCCTCATTGGGATTTCTTATTTAGACCTTCCTAATGGCTTCCTGACTAAATTATTTAAAAAGAAAGAAAGAAATTAAGCAAGCAAGCAAGGAAGAATGGCTTGCAATACCAAATTTTTGAGATTTAGTAATCTGTTAAAGCCATAACATAGGCCCTAAGACTAAATATATCAACCTAGCACCTCATTCCCTTGTCACAGAGAAAAGAGTTTAAAGCTGTTTTCCAATGGCTTCTCACCTGACTTTTATTGTGGGTAAGATATACATATTGATCCTATATTTATAACAAGAATTGACATCTGTAAATGTTGTATTATTAATAAAAATTTCAAGAGCAAGGTGTCACTAACTTTTTCAAAACAGATAATAGAAATTCTAATATATCCTTACTGGCCATCCCCTCCTATATAATAAAGAGGTAATATGCAAATTAACCCTCACACCCTCACAAGATGGCTGCCTATGACCAGGCTGGCAGGGGGGTTAGTGAGGGACTCCCAAATGACTGAATAAGCAGGTGCGTGGGACAACCAGGCTAGCAGTGGGGTTAGTGAAGGATGACCAAATGACTGAACAGCAGGCTGTGTGGGGCAACCAAGCTGGCAGAGGGGGCAGTAAGGGGCAACTAGGCTGGCGGAGGGGGCAGTTGGGGGCAACTAGGCCGGCAGTGGAGGCAGTAAGAGGCAATCAGGCCAGTGGGGGGGGGGGGGCAGTAAGGGGTGACCAGGCTGGCGGAGGGGGGCAGTTAGGAGTGACCATGCTGGCAGAGGGGGGCAATTGGGGGCAACCAGGCCGGCAGAGGGGGGCAGTAAGGGGTGACCAGGCTAGCGGGGGTGCAGTTAGGAGCGACAAGACCGGCAGGGAGGGGGCAGTTGGTGCGATCTGGCTAACAGTGGGGGGGAGCAGTTAGGGGCAACTAGGTTGGCAGGGGGGGCAGTTAGGGGTGACCAGGCAGGCACACCAGTGAGCGATTAGGAGCCAGCGGTCCAGGATTGTGAGAGGGACGTCCGACTGCCCATTTAGGCCCGATCCCTGGGAAGTCGGACATCCCCCAAGGGGTCCAGGATTGGAGAGGGTGCAGGCTGGGTTGAGGGGACGCTCCCACCCTGCACGAATTTTGTGCACCGGGCCTCTAGTCCTATATAATAAAAGGCTAATATACAAATTGTCCCCTGGACCGGGAATTCACCTGGGAGTTTGACTGGGAGTTCGACCAGGGGTCAGGGCCAGCCAACCACCTGTGGCCCCTCCCCCAGCTGGCCCCAACCCTGATCAGCCACCCCACCCCAATCGGGGTGGGCCAGCCGGACCCCGCCCATGCACAAATTCGTGCACCGAGCCTCTAGTCCCCGTAGAGTTAAGATGGGGAAAGTGGGCCCACAAAGGTCACAGGCCTTATTCAAGGTCATGGAGCTAATTAGTAGTAGCTCCCAATCACGACTTTAGGTTCCTAAGTTTGCAAATCAATATGTCATACTATCTTTGAAGCATTCTCCAAATAACTAACATCCATTTGAAGATCTGTCCACTGAGAAACATGTGGTACTGGGAGCCCTCGTGAGAAAAATGTATAGCTGTGAATGTAGCGAGCCTACTTTAAAAAATTGGAAGAGAACAATCTCTTCCATGGGAACAT